AGGCACGGTCTCTGCCCTCAGGAAAGGTAATAGTGACGACGAAAATGTGTTGTGTTTAGATAAGAGTACACAAGACCGAAAATGCATGTCAAACAATATAAAAGCATCACTTGTATTAATAATTACATTTGATATGCTGTAGAGCAATACAACAGGTAGGGCCTACTATACTGTACGAAACAGTCGCTTGTAATGCCAAAAAGTGAGGCACTCTACTCCCAAGTTGAATTAGGGCCTAGCCTAAGCCCTAGACGTAACACTAGACCTACAGCAGGTCCGGTGGCCGTCGGTCCCATATATCGTAAACGATGGTCTTTGTTTTGTTTGTTCAATCATTAGTATTGTTATTATTACCGCCTTTATGACTGGTTACAAATGAATAAGACATAAATAGGCAAGAAATTCATTTATGGAAGCGTTTTTGTGAAATTTTATTGGTTTTTAAATTTGTCTAAAGCATTTTCAATTTGGCAAAAAAAATTAAAAACCTTTCGCCAGTTTGGCAAAAGAAAATTTGTGAGCGTAGCACCCTTAGTTTTCTACTGCTACAACCCTGACACCAAAGTCTAAAGATATTTGTTTGATGGCACTTGTTAAAAAATTGTAAATATATTCATACAATTTATTTATTTGTAGTCTGAGGATTTGTTTTCATTAATTGAAAGTCATGAAGGACGACCATTGAAGCTGTATTTATACAATTCAGAAACAGATGGGTGTAGGGAAGTAACAATTACACCCAATACTAACTGGCAAGGAGAGGGAAGGTAAGCAGTCTAATAGTAATGCAGTGTAGTCATGCCTTTTATAAACCTATTCTAAAGCCGGTTTGCATTAGATTATTTTATTTCAAACTTAACATGTACCTGCTTGTGACTGAACAAGTATAATCCTATATAACATTCTCCTTTGTAAAATCTGTTGCCCTGGAAAAATAACCAGGCTGTTTTTCCTGATCAAGTCCAGTGTGAACAGTGCGACTCTGTTAAATCTTAATGAGCTAATGCTATTACAGAATCTTTCTGACCATGCATGCACAATAGCTTACTATCTTAAAACCTACTGCATATTAAAATCCAAGTGCGAACAACTTGTATTTAGTGGTATGATTTTAACAAAGGTAAAGTCAACATTTGTCTTGGTCAAAATTAATCCAATAAAAACATGGCTTTAGACTGTATCACATAGATGGCTGAGTAAGTAGCATATTATATTTAAATGTTCACAGAATCATTACACTTTTGATAAACCATGTGTAGAATGAATGGATTCTCTTGATGACGATCAGAGCAATCTCACCAAATTGCCGAGACAACCAACCAGTTGTTTTACCTCAAAAACCATATTTTGCACATGGTGTACTGAAAGTTTATTGATTTTGTTATTGATACTCACCATGTATTAAATGTTAATGTTATTTGTCAATATTCAGTCTCAATTCTAAACTTCTATATAAAAGGCAGTATTATAAATTTTTATTGTTATTTTTATGATGTTCATCATCGTAATTATAATGTATGCGTTTTGTATGTATTTGCATCACAGCTAAAATTATTTCTTTATTGTATCAGTCTTGGCTGTGGAATTGGTTACGGTTACCTGCATAGAATTCCTACACGGCGGTTTCCTGAAGGCCAAGCCCTTGATTTCTCAGAACATATTCACCAGTCTCCTGTCCCGACACAGGTACCACAAAATACACCTGTTGCATCACCAGCTGATGGATTCTCTGAGGTAATGTCACTTTAATTTGACCACAGTAAGACCTCTTTTGCCATCCAATGGATCTGCTTACTTTTCTTAATGACTTGTTTAATCACATAGATGTGAATCAGTAGGGCACCCAAGTCTCCTGCAAATTGTGCGAGTCTCCCAGAAAACAAGGAGACCTCCTGCATTCCGACAAGCAAGCAAGAATCTCCCAGCAAATAACTTGCCTGCAAATGTGCTATAGTTTCATGTTTTTACTATACTGTCTTATCAATTGTCTTCCAGAACTCTGTGCCCAATTGATATCGCATGTGCAGCAAAATAAGATTAGATCTCCCGGAAATGGCTTCTTTCAACTTGGAACCCCTGAATCAATTGCGTTAACATACATTCAACAAAGACAAAATTACATAACATCACAAAGGATTTTATAAATTCATTTCAAAGCATTGAAAAGTATGATTGAAAGAAAAAATATTGAAATATTTAATACAGTATTACATATATATAGTATTATATATATATTATAAGTTAATAAAGGTTTTTTATTTTAAAATGAAATATAGAATAAAAACAAATTTATGCTTATTTTTAGGTATCACTTGCCTCCACTCCAAATGTAAGCAGTGTGGAAAAAGATCTGGCTAATTTGAACCTTACCCCAGCCAGCCCGGCAAATGCACCTGTCACAACCACAGGCACACCTGTGAATGTGACAAGCCCAGCAATAAACCCAGCCTTGCCTACTGGACAACCAACCATACCTGTTACTGCAGGATCTCAACCTGTAGTC